AAAGGGAAAGTAAGTTAATGAGGAAAAAAACGATATGTATATAATGTAAGATATGTCTATACGAGGCAGAGTGCGCGACGCAACTGAGCTGCGCGTCGGAGGCTGGCCAAGGACTCGCAAGCTGTGCGCGTACTAAGCTGCGCATTAACAAAAGAAGTAGTAGGAGAGGCCACACGGGATTTCTACTCACTTCTTGCTTCTGTTTTTTTTTCTTTCTGTCGCTGCATGCGTGCGCCAACGCACATTTGCGCGTGTGTAGCAACAAGAGTGGGAATGAAGCCGGTATAAATGCGCGGGAAGAAGTTTTGTGGTGGGGAGTCAAGAAGAAATAGAATGTATCCAAAAATTACTTGTTAGAAAAGGTGAAAAGACATGGTCATATGTATTCCATTACCTTGACAATGAGTTTAGAAGTTAGAATTTATTATTCAGGTCTCAAAAACAAAATTCCTAGAACAGTAAAAGTGCAAGAGATACAACAAAATAAATTAGAAATTTTCGTTTATCGAAAAATTAAAAAAAAAGAACTACTTTTCTATTCCGTATTCAACAAAATATTTCTCTTATCTAATTGATTAAAAATATATCAATAAAAATGAAATTTTCTAGAAACATCTTAATGCTTTAATGATAATAGAATGCTACAGATTACTAAATACATTTAATTACGTAATTACTAAATAGTATTTGCGTTCATAATGTACAAACGATTGATCTATCTGAAAGAGACCTTCTAACCTCATATTTTTATGTTCTCTTTTCAAATTTTAATCTTTTTTCTTCACTTTGCTCTGATAATGTCATTCAATGTTTGCAGATTGAATATCTAATTATAGTATAAAGAAGATACATATGCAATATATTTTACCTATCTTAAGTAATATTTCAGAACAAGTAAGCACTTCAGTAAATAGGATACACTAAAAAGTAAAACTGCAGGTCTATTAATCAGAAATGTCTTCACTTATTTGTTCAGACAATAACACTTGAAGTATTCAAGACTCGCACGATCGTGTCAGGATTTGCTGGTTTCTCGAGAGTCTTTTTTGTAACGCATTAATCGTTCTTCAGATTGCAATTAGCGAAGACGTGTCGTTCGCGGGGACACGCCTCGTTTACGGCAAGGCTTGGCGTCGATGCGTCGAGACGAAATTAAAATGGAGAAGGGGACAAACTACTGAAACATACATCGTCCTCATCCTTACTTATATTTTTTTTCTTCGTGTCCTCTCCCAGTGAGTTTCCAGTCGCCTTCTCGTCTGCACCTGTTTCCTATTTATATACACACTTCAATGTTTCACCTTACACTTTAGCCCACTCTTTATCCTCTTCATATCATCGATATACTTTCTCATCATGACATTAATACTTCTTGTTAAGCCTATTATTATTATTATTATTATTATTATTTATATCAAATCATTAAACAAAAATGCAGCGATAGATATTTTGAAAACTATAGAGATCTTTTGTATTAAATCACTTCATTCTAATGTAATACATATTCATGTATGTTTGTGTATATAGAAAGTTAGAATATTTGGAATTTTTTTTCAACTTTTCCAACGTGTGGATGAATAAATGAAAGGTCTTCTATGCATTTACTTAATATTTTGAAATACCAAAGAAAACAAAAAAAAAAAGAAAAAGACCGTTGAAGACATATTTCTTGAGCCACGTCAGCTTCGAAGACTGACCGTTCCAACGAGCGTATAATTCACAGGGTGTCATTAGTGAGACAAGCTGAAAATAATAGCCGAAATTGTAAAAATAGAGATTATCTTAGTCATCTAGGAATATAACAAAAGTTTTGTGGTATTGACCGAGCATTTTTACTTTCTAATAATTGATTTTTTACTATCATTAATTATTAAGCTATGACTTTGTTTTTTAGTTGGACTTTTTCCCTTAACGCTGAATTAATTTACGACCAAGTTGCCGTGGATTCTTGAATTAAACTTGTGTACTTGGGCCAACAAGAGAGACATGTTGAGGGTGTGGCTATGCTTCCTTGGACGCCGTCGACGGGCTTCCATTTAATCAAGCTCACCCTGCTCGACCGATCCTTCCTCTACCTTCTTTTGAGCATCGGTCTGATGGTTACCCTAGAATATATTTCATACAAATACATGCGCAGATATACCACACCCATTGCAAGTACAAGCTAAACAACTATGATGTCTAACGTTTCAACAACCCTTTGACTTTGATTGACGTTAAGCACAATGGATTCTTATTAACGCGTTTTCAACAAGAATTTACAGACGTCAATGGCGCGTAAAAGTACTCATCGATATTTATTAATCACGAAAATAATAAAATAAAACCGCACCTAATTGTATCAAGAAAGTAAAGTGCAAAACAATTGTCTATATTTTATGTAATATCGATAATAATGACACAAAGCCCAGGACGTAAAACTTAAACATATAAACATTAATCCGTCTAATATCCCTTTTATTTTGCTCTTTTCTATCATGTCATTCGTTTTTCCTTTGACTTGTTGTTCTTTTTTCGTCACCAATTCCATGACAGCCACTCCTATATTTGTTGAGGACGTTATAGTATTTCTATGGATAAAACAGCAACGTATCTATGTATACATCAATAAGCATCAGTTTAAACTTCAAAACGAACTAAATATCTCTGCTAATGGATACTCACACTATTAAACACATTTTCAAGAAAAAATATTTAATTTATATCTTAAATCAAAATGTTCTTCATATATTTTTCGAGTTACCCAAGTGGAATTTATTTTAGGCATCCACAAAAAAAAATTTAAATTATTTTATTATTTGACGTTCGAGAAATGATGATTATACATATTTTATTTGATTAAAAATATATCTGTTTCAATAGTATTGGTAATATGTAATTAAAATGTGAAGACAGCGCTGATAAGTGAATTCGCAACATGATGTTGTAATCAAAATTGATAAGAAATCACTCCTTATGTTTAAGACATCTTGTTTAAAGAATTAATATATGTATTATTATATAAATGTTTCTGGAGCTGTCGCTTGAAAACGACTGGCGATTGCAACATAAAATCGAATGGAGGGCGGTAGAGATAACCTATAGGTTGCGGAGCGGTTAGCAACACTGGCGAACAGTTACGAGGGGTGATAACACTGTCTTAAACCGATACATTATTTCAACTTGCTTGTAGTATAAGCTATTCGAGTTACTACATAGACGTTACAGGAACAAGCCAATTGGGCTACGTAGATTATCATTTTCTTTTATATCGGAATCTAAGCATTTCAATTAAACAATATCTTCATGGTCACTTGCAACTTTATTTTTTTTTTATTTCCACGGCTTCAATATAATGAAGATGTTTTAGGAATTAATTGTTACCAAATTGCTGAGTATAATAATATGAGATATGATCAGTTTATAGAATAGCGTTTAGAATCATTTTGATATACAGAAACATTTGAAATAAGCCAGAGGGGCCCTGGTAGTTTAGGGTCACCGCATCCGTTGACGTCATGGTGGCCTGATGACCCTGCCGAACTTCAGGCTAGACGATTAGCATAACGATTTCCAAGCATAAAATGTCATACATATTAACATGTTTTATATTTTTTTTCTTACTCTTACATTATATGTATATGTATTGTAAATTGAAAAAAGTTCTTTCAATATTCCTCGACAGCATGTCTTTAATAATTATCAAGATTCAAATAAGAAAAGTTGAAACGAATTAAAACAGTCTTTTTATATTTATTTGAAATATTATTCACAGTATCAAAATGCTCTACTGGTTAACCTAAATAATTTATATCCCAAACACACAAGTTAAAGTTCAACCTCAGAGTTAAAATAATTCGTCCGCAAGTCGATAATTCGAATCGCATGATGATGATGAGAAAATATAACGAGTCTGTGATTCGCATCTTTAGATATAATTATAACAAAAAGTGAAATACGAAATTCATCAGCTTTATCTGCTTAAACTGGTTTTCAAGGCAATAAATACTGCAATAATTATTATAAGTGTTGCAAAACGGAGATTGTTGCTTTGAGTATTCTATTAATTATGATTTGAACTAACCTTAGAAATGATATATTCGGACTACTGTATAATTATCATGACAAATGCTTTATCATTAGCCCTGAAATCTGATGAGTTATGATTTTAAAAATTACCGTTAATACAAGTAGTTACTATGGAAGAAATTTGAAATTTTTTCCCTATTTTTCAATATATTTACGTATTTCTATTTATTTTGAATCGCAAAAGAACCTGAAATGCTCCAATAACATGTATTCAAAATGTAGCACAAATAATCAATATTAAAGATAAAAGAGATATTTTTTTTATAAAATTGTTTGTTGTCATAATACGTAAAATCAACTATATGAATTTACTTCTTTAATCATATATTAAATTCATTTTTAAAAAAACTGTTTAGTTAATAATTGTATTGAGAATACAAAATAAAATAATCAATCATAATTATTTTGAAGAATAGATGAAGTTAACAGCATAAATATTTTTCAACTATTCTCATACATATTGATTTTTGATTAATTTTATCTCATTAATTAAATAAATCTAAATAAATTTAAAAAAAACTTTCTGAAATTTTAAAAATATTTTTTATAACTTTTGTATATATTATAATTAAAATTTTTAAAAATTCCACTAAAATTGATTACCATATTTATCAACAGCTCTAGCATATGAGGAGATCATATTTATCAACTTCAGCATCGATAGGAAATTTATTCGAAGGAAACTTTCTTATCGATCCAATATCATAACCTAGCAATTGTTGTGAAGTGCTACAAAGGTTTTTTTTTGCTTTTACAAAATATAAATATTTGACGTGTTTAGATAAAATATACATAATCGATTAAAGTAATTAAAATATCTTTACTCTATAAGATGATACAATTTTCAAGAATTAAAAATAAATAAATTAATCTAATTATTACTAACAATGTATTCTAAACTCTATTCTAACAGATATACTTGCATTGTACTGTTAACAATCTTCTACTTGAAAGAATATTAAACGAATAATTAAATTCATTGAAACAAATCATTCTCAACAACTTGAAAAAATTGAATTATTCATACTCTAAAGTGTTTAAGTCCATTTTGGACATGGACATTTTTTTGCTGAGACAATAATGAAATACTAGATGCTTTTATCAAATTTGATTTACTTTTTATACGTACTCTTGCCACACAATTTTCTTTATTATCATCATTTATGATCCTTCTTCTGTCTTTTAATTTTCTATCATTTCCTACATCTTTTCTAGATTTTAATATATTTTCAGGAATATTTTCATCAGAATGGATTCTGAAAACTCTTGGTAAGTGTACTGTATCTGATTCAGGCTCTTCTGAATCCTTGAAGATTAATTTTTTTGGTTTCAAATCAATTTTTTTAATATATTTTCGTGGCTTCGTGGGAGCTGGAGGTTGTGTTGTCAATAATTTAACGGACGGTGGTGTTAAATCTTGTGTATTTGCCGAGGATAACTGTTTATTCACAATAACCTCGCTCCATGTTGACTGAAATCAAATTTTTAATTTAAGATAATGAAATAGAACTTTATTGAATAAAAAAATTACTTGTGGTTCTCCATCTTTAGGAAAATAAGTAAATAATTTTTTCTTTATGTGTCTTGAGGTTTTCGGAGTTGATATATTTAAATCACTATGTTCAAAAATTTTGAATTGACTTCTCGGCATTTTACAATACTTAGATATGCAAAAGGTTATGATAATTGTTATAATAAAATGCATATATATATATATATTGATAACTATTGCTATTATCGAAGAGTCTAATCGAAATAAAAAATACACAATTTTTTTTTACAGGAATATTATTTTTTCTGACACGTTAATCTAATAAACTGTGACATAATGGACCGTAATTAAACGATCTTTATTATAGCTAATTTCGTACTATTGACATTTAAACACCAATCATTTTATTTGTTATCTTCCAATTGAACAAATGAGCAATGAAAATTTTTCTCAAATAAAGGTTAAGGTAATGTAATAGTTGATTGCTAGCGAAACTATTTATACGATTATTAATGGAAAATTATTTATGGCAATATTGATAGGTCAATAGTTTTGATGCGATGAAAGTATGACCTCCAATACAATGCGACCTATTATTTGTTTATCTTGTTGATTTAGTTTATCAACGGTTAAAATTGAAATGAAGTTAGTTTAATTTGGCTAAGCGGGATTCCGAGTTTAGTCGATAATAGCCGAAGAGGTCGTGCCTCGGGCTCACGAGCGCTACCCACATGGAAAATGGTGGTGAAGTAGACATCAGAGTGGCCAAGCAGCTATTCGCCATCGTTGATGGGCGCACATTGAGTTGTTTAAGATAGGGTGCGCCAGATATTACGTTGATATTGCGTATTATTGTGCTTAATGCAAGTATTAAGTGTGTTTAGAAGCAAGTATAAGTGACGTGAGGCTAATTGAAGGTATGTATTTAACCATAAGACAACAATAAAGCTGTAAAATACGGAAAGAAATGTTGGGTTTTACAGACCATTCGCTCTCAGAGTATATAAACTATCGTATGCGCATGTGCTAACGCGGGAACGATAATTTTACATGAACCCTTCAGTCGTTACAGTGATAATTTGATAAAGACAAATTGCCGGTTGCATTCTGGAAAATTATGCTAAACATAATTATTAACATGATATCTATGTTTATCTTTTTCATTCGGATGTTGTTTTTTATACTTTATAATTTAAAGTTTCTTTGTAATAAATGTTTTCATCACTGTCGGATTTTTTCAAATTTTCTTCTATTCTTTCCTTACAGTGTTATTCCACGTCATAATAAAGTATATAAAATATGATTAGTTAATTTTTTAAGCCCAACAATTTTCTGATAACTATTTTATCACTTCGATTCATTTTAGTATAGAATTCTATAGTCATTGTGGTTACTAATAAATATATATTATTTTAGGCTAAAAAATGTCATCAGCACAAGTAGATCGTCCTACAAAAGTAGGTCACGTCAACAAAAAGGAAAATGATAAATCGAGAAAATTGTTTAATCAATCTTATAAGAAACACAAACATGATGAAAGTCGTCATTTTAAATTTGGCCGAAAAAGATTACAAAGTTTTACAGGGAATGGTAAATTTTTTCCTCCTTATAAAAGGAGAAAGAAGGAAGGTGCCATAATACCTCCTACAAAGTTTCTTCTCGGTGGTAACATATGTGATCCATTAAATCTAAACAGTATGCAAGATGAAGAAATAAATAGAGCAATGAATGCGGTAACTCCCAAATCAAGCCCCTTGCCAACTCCCAAACATCGTAAGGAGACTATTGAAGTGATTATTCCACCAAATATATGTGATCCACTAAATTTAAGTAATTGCAATGATAATGATGAATATGAAAAGCAATTGATTTCACCAACAAAGAAAGGCTCTAAACGACGTAATAGAAAGCGAAAACGGGCTTCATCTGGTTCTGGTAAAGAAGATGTTAATCAAAGTGGGAGTGAAACTGACAAAATTACTGAACAAAAAACTATTGAAGATGTGTTGCCTTCATTACCATCAAATGAAGATGTTACTGTTATCAAAGAAGTTACTTCTAATGAATCCCAAGGTTCAATAAAACCACCAAGTCCACCAACACCGACATTAGTAGTAGGAACAACACCAGTAGTAGTAGCAGCATCAGTGGCAGCAGTTACAGCAGTAGCATCACCAACCGTTGCAACAGTAGCAACAGTTACGACTACAATAATGCCAATTGTGATAACACAGCCAACAAAGGATCAAAAACTCGAAAGTCCACAAAAGGATAAAAATAAGTTACGTTTAAAAGGATTGGATGAAGCTAAAGATAAAAGATTAAGAAAAGTAGATGTCAAAGATAAAATTGTTAGTCCTGTGATTCCTCAACCTGGTGCTTGGAAACCACGATTACCACACAGACCAACTCAAGATAAAAAAAAGAAAGGGCCCCAAACTCTTCAATTACCAAATTTTCGAATAAAGAATGCTCGATTTCAATATGGAAACTATGATAGGTATTATGGCTATCGAAATCCACATCACGGTATCGATCCTCGATTAACCATTTTTGCTCAACGAAAAGAATTATTCTTTAATAAAGATATTCTTGATATTGGATGTAATATTGGTCATATAACACTTTCTATTGCGAGGGATTTCACAGCTCATAGCGTCACTGGGATAGATATAGATCGTAAATTAATAGGAATTGCAAGGAGAAATATTAAACAATATGTGAATTGTGTTCGATCGCCTGCGAGTAACGAGGATGCTGGAAACGTCAATACTGATTGTGATACTAGTTTTTTTCCCATGTCCATGCCTATCAATTATGGCCCCATCGATGTTCCTGGTTTTACAAAAAATAATGATCATAAAGGTTTTCCATATAATGTTACTTTTGTGCAGGTAAGTTTTATTTATCTTTTAAATTTAAAATTAATTATTCAACAATCGTTTATAAAATGTTTATTTTTTGTTTTAGGGTAATTATGTATTAGAAGATGATTCTTTATTAACATCAGAACAACCACAATTTGATACAATACTTTGTCTTTCCATTACAAAATGGATCCATTTAAATTTTGGTGATGCCGGATTGAAACAAGCATTTAAGCGAATGCATGCTCAGTTACGACCGGGTGGTGTTTTAGTATTAGAAGCTCAAAGTTGGTCAAGTTATGGAAGGAAGAAAGCTCTGACTGTAAGTTGAAGCATTATCTTATTATTACTCATTAGATATATCTAAATATAATATGTATATTCACTTTAACTAATTCTTGGATTTTAGGAAAGAATCTATCGGACTTATCACAGCATCGAATTCTTTCCGGAAAAATTTACTCAGTATCTTTTATCATCTGAAGTTGGGTTTACTAAATGTGAAGTCGTGTCTATTCCTCCACACCCTTCAAAAGGTTTTCAACGACCGATTCAGCTGTTCACAAAAGCTGGCACCAGTCCAGTACCAAGCACGATAACTCGATTTGTTGCAAGAGCACAAGAGAAAAAGGATTCTGAACTCCGAGCATTTGAACGCGATTTATTTCCACGAGAAATGCAAAAACCGGGCAATTTATCTGATTTAAGTCAACGTAGTAGTGAATCTTTGAGTCAATATGAACAGCTGGAGAATGTTTATGCTCCGAGTACAACACCATGTTATGATACTCCCAGTCATAACAATGATAGCCAATCAGCATTTGAACCTGAAAGAATGTGTTATGTCGATGTTGTAACTAAAACAGAAGTACTACAAGTAAATGAATTAAAAGCGAACGACGATGTAGAATTATCGAAGACAACTGTAGAACGTAAAAGAAAAATTGAAGGCCCAGTCATCGATGTAAAGAAATCACGGCGTATAAGTGATCTTTCTAGCCAAAATGAACAAGTTAATCAGGTTGGAATCACGCCAAATACTAGTAAAGATGTTAACAAAGAAACAGTGTCAGAATCAAAAAGTAAGACGAATTCGAGTAATGATGGACCATCTACAGATAAAACATAAACGTTAATTTATAGTCAGCATAACCAGATGAAAAGAAAGTGGTGCTGTGAAGAAGGTTAATAATTTTTAACTTCTTTTATTAATTTAATTGGTTTTGTTGATTTACTATGAAAAAAACCATCGTAATGAACGTGCAGCTAGTCGAAATTTTTTACTTTTGCATGTTCTAAAAAAGTGTAAAAATAAACTTGGAGTTTCATTGTTTATTGTATTTCTTATGAATAATTATACCATTTAAGTTTATTTAGTTGATAACTGAGATAAAAAATGAAAAATCAAATTAAGAAAAAAATTGTTTCCACTAAGTAGTAAATGGTATTAATAATTTTTGAATGAATAATGTTTCTTATAAAAAATGGATGAAAATAAATTTTTTCTACAAAAAATTCTTTTAAGTAAGGAAATGTAGTAATGTGTATACATATTTATTTTCTTTGAATTCATATTTTTGTAAAAAAAAATAATATTTATTTTTGAAAATATTTACCAAGTGGAAGCAAAATAAATTTTTTATTAAGGAAATATTTTACTAAATGAATTTATTCCTTTTTTGAAATCATTTTTTCTCTCAGTATGCATAAATAGTATTTCATTTCGACATTTTAAGCGAGATTAATCTAATTATTATAGAAAACAAAAACTTCTCCATGTGAATTTAAAATTAAATTTTTTTTTGTATTTTATGTTTGATTTAAGTGCTTTTGCATACGAGGCTTCCAATGATAGAGTGCCTGTATGTTAAAAAAAATGTGAGAGTAATAAGTGAAAAGGAAACAATCTTGTGTTTGTAATGTTCTTCAAATTAAATACAATGTTCGAGCACGTCACATGTTTTTCAAGCAACTCTTGACTAAAAACAGACTTTTTTCGTTTTATTCGAAACAAATGCGGAAAAAAGTGAAAATTTCAAAATGTGCAGTGAACAAAGAGCCTTTTGTAATGCTGAGCATTATAGATAATTGTAAATTTATATAGCACTTAAACACCATGGAATGAAATAAATTTATGAAAAAATGACAAATAGATTATTAAAATTAAATGAAGTGTAGATTTATAAAGTGTGAAAATTTATGTAGGATAAAACAAATTAATAATTATAAAAAGTAGTGGCGTACTCATCAATAATATAACTCTAAGTCGAGAGAATTATAAAATAAGATATAACTGTAAATTGAATTTTCATATTTTAAGAACCGCCAGTATATTATTCGATATTTGTTATTTACTTTTAATGAATTTTCATATTTCATAAATCTATTGATGATCCCAAAAACGAAAAGTATTAAGACGTAAAATGAATATTACTTAAGAGAGTAATAATTCTTAATTATTTAAAACGAATTAAACGAAAGCAAGAACAAAATCGATAGTAGTTTTAATTTTTTTCTGTTTTAATATTATCAATTTTACAGGCATCAAAATTACAAATCAAATTTTAAAGTGGAAGCCATGTATGTGTAGAACTGCTTTGTCAATGATATGATGTGACATAATGTGTTGAAACAATGGTCGCTATTAGTTTCATCTTCGTTTCTCGTTATAAAGAAAACTATCAGTGATGACGTCCCACTCGATTCCGTGTAATTATTAGGAAAATTGCCTTGGACTTTATCGACAAATATTTAAATAATTTTAATAAAAAAGTAATCGCACATTGGAATTAATTGATAAAATCATAAAAAAAAATTTTTACATAATGAAAACTAAGCACAAATCGAATTTGGGCGCAATCACTTCAGTGATCGCTTCGAATAATAATAATAATAATAATAATAATAATAATAATAATAATAATAATAATAATAATAATAATAATAGAGTTAGAAAAGCTACCAGAGAATGCATACTGTGTAAATTTCAAAGAATAAAATAGGACAGTAAAACTACCTAAACTCAACAGAATATTATTATTACTTTTATTTTATTACCTTTTATTCGGATTTCTTTTTATTAATTATTATCATAAATTTTTCAATCCATGTTAAATAGTGATATTATAGAAGCTCAAGGGTGAGTTGTACATACATGAAATTGTTAATGACAATTTTTCAAAACTGTCTTAAAATTATTATTCAAAAAATTTCCCTCTCGCTTCATCTACTTCTAATCAGCTATAAATATACAATAAATACTCGTATAGAGAAATACACGTAATTATATTCATATATGTTTGTGAACAATGTTGTGGACGTTTATTTTATTAATAATATATTTTGTGTCGACCAGCAACACTAAAATCCATTTTTCCGTGCAATTTTTATTATGATTGTAATGGAAATTTTGAGATTCAGAATTTTTTTTATAATATGATGATAAAATCTGCTGCAGATTACTTTTTTTTATATTCATTTACCAAAGTTATTAATTTGAAATGGAAAAAGGGGCAGTTGAAAACTGGCAAAAACGCCCTACAAATATTTAGATGCTTTAATTAATGACGTGCGGTCAAAGCTAATTTTGACAACTGATACAATTGAATTACTTGAAGGAGACGCCCGCGTCTCTAGATTATTTTTAAATATTAATCAATAGATTAATGAAATTCATTTCAAATATTCACTAAATAGTGTATACCTACGAGTAATTTCCAGTTTTAATAATTGATGATGTTTTTAACACATTTCATCATGATTGTTATCATTATAATATCATTGTGTACATTTTTTAATATTACTTTTAGTTATACATAGTTATAACCATGGTAGTCTAAATGTGAAATGTGTGTCATCACATTAAACATAACTGACATTGGATGGTGATTTAATTCATTACAAATTCTGTATGATAAAATAATGTCATGTTAACGTCGATCAATGAGTTGTCGACGATGGTAGAGAGAATAATTGGATTTTTGTCTTTTTAACAAATTAACATATTGGTTGCATAATTAATTCAGACAAAAATTTAAATTAGTATTAAAGTTTTGTTAAATCAAAATTATCGGCAGTTACAATTAGACTTGAAAATCACTTTTTTTCTAAACGACCGGCGTTTGGATGTGAATGATTTTCTAAAAGATCTTAGTTAAATTTATTCATCGACAAGTTCCCAGAGCATAAGAGCTGCATCAGTACCACCGACCGTTACGACGTTCTGATCATTATACAGAAAACGAGCGCAAGCCACAAGTGAACTGTAAACTTTCTCCTCAACGTATTCTGCTTTTGCACTAGTACAAGGGTATCGAAAGAGTCTCAAATAGCCTTCAGCATCTCCACTTATTAACATATCATGTGCTGCTGATCGACTAGATGTTGTGATTACTGTTGTTAGAGGGTAGTATCGATTATTCCACATTCCTAAAAATTCATTTAAATATAAAATATTCAATTATAAATTAAATTCGTCTTTTTTAGTGATTATTATTTTTTTTTTTACCTGATACCATGTAACCAATTGTACAATTATGAGTGTGCCACTTTACGTCTTTCATTACAAGTGGACTTTTTTCGGATTGTAAAGCTTTTACGTCCCCTGAAAATAAATAAATTTTTTCAATAATACTACTTTTCAAACTTGGATTAAGAAAAGTGGAATTATTTGTAAACTATTTGATCAAATACTTACAAAAGACTAAGTCATAATCTTGAGTAACAGTTTGTAAAAATCTGCTATCTGAACTCCAATCGAGTTGAACTAAAGGTTGAGTACCACGGATTTTATTGCTTTTTTTATAAGAAAATCCATCCCTGGATACTCTAAAGAGATAGACACTACCGTTTTGTGATCCCATAGCAATAATTTCTCCAGCTTGAATGAGAAAGAATTTGTGTTAAAAGTCATCAATAAGTCTATTGACCTTCAAAATATCAACAAAATGTTAAAGTTTAAACTTATTATGCATATGTTTATTTCGCGGACATTTATTGTCATGATTGGTGCTAAAAATATTCATGAATTTTGTAACTGTAAGTAATTGTAAAATACCACATACTTGGATTGTATCCAATGCATGATAACGGTGATCCACAAACTCGTAAAGTTGCTACTGCAGCTCCAGTATCAGCAGCAAGAACTAAAAGATGGCCTTCAGAAGAACCAGCAGCTAAAGCTACTCCGAATGGATGAAAAGCAATACAAATGCATTCAAATCCAACCTGATAAAAGTTAATTAATAATCAATTTTTTTTAAGTATATAATAAATTCAATTTTCGCAAATAAAAAGTTAATAAAAATTACTTGAGTTGTCCAAAGTAGTTTATGTCTTCTCCACAAAGCAATATTTTTATCATGACCAGCAGTAGCAAAAACTTCATCATCTGGATGAACAGCAAGACCCCAAAGCTGTCTCCCATGTCCAAACACAACTTGATTAAATCTGCGTTGTAGTGAACCTTCTAAAATATTATTTCGTGTAGTCCCAACATAAATATTTCCATCGTTTCTGCCGGGTCGTTGAGGATAAATACTACGTACACCTCCTGCTGATTCAGGCAGCTAGAAGAGAAAGAAATCATATTAACAATAAAGAAAATTTTTTTATTAATCATGGTAAAATAAAATCAATATTAACGATGAAGTAGATTTTAATGGAATTAACACAATTCGCTTTTATTTAATATTTTATGAAAATCTACTGAATAGTCAGATCCGTTCATTTCATAAATTTACATTCAATTGAATTTGATTTGAAATGAGACTTTAAATGATTGATTATTTTGCTATTAAGTATAAATTCTTTGAAAATTTTTTAAACTTTTAAAAATTTCTGTAATTTGTAATGAATAATTTGTCATAATCTCACATTTATAGCAAATTATCTCTCACTACACATATTTTTTTTATATTAAAAATATAAAATGACGTACTTTGGTATCTGTGATACGTTTATAATTTTGTAGAGAATCCCAAGCAGCAATTTTACGATCTTTTTCTCCACCAGACAATAAAGTTCCTTCTGATAGCATTACTAAAGAACTTATTCCTTTGTTGTGTGCTTCGAATTCCATTCGCACAAAATAGGCACCGTCTGCATCTACAGAATAAATGGTAATGAATCCATCGCTATCTGCGGTTACCACATCTCCATCTTGTTCAAATTGTATGCTTGTCACGTGAGTTCGTGATGGCTACGAATAAAAAATTAAATGTAGTTAACAGATTTAAATTTAAAATTAATTTATTGATTAATATTGATACTTACCGGTTTAATTATATCTGTTCGTTCAAAAAATCCATCTTTACGACGATTCCAGAATGTTAAATGACCACGTCCATGGGTAATTAGCAAATTGTCATCAAGTGGATGGAATGCTGCTCCAGTTAAATCTTCTTGTAAAGTCTAGAATATCAAGTAATGAATCGTTAGAGAAAAAATCCATAACTACCAAAATTTTTTCAAATAAATTATAGTATATAATTATTTATGATAACTTACAGCAACTTTGCCAAGAAGATGACCCCATTGCCATTGCCATACCGATAAAATAGCTTCTCTTCCTGAATCAACAACTAGAACGTAGCTTCCACCATTCTACACAACGAATTTTGATTTTTTTAAATGTATTTTTTGTATTTTGTATGTATCTATTTATTATGTATCGTCGTGCTTATAATATTTAAAAAATTTATAAAAATATCTTTTTTGACAATTACATAATGCTTTAAAAATTCAAGCCAAAAAATTTTGCAAATAGAAAATATGACATTTAAAATGATAATATTTAATATTCGACAAAAATAAGAAATTTTTGAATAAAATATGTCTTACAAGTTGGGAGAATGCAAGTGCAGAAACTCCCATCTGAAATTCAGTCATCCCAAAAACATAAAGTGTAAGAAGTGTTTCTGTTGACCAAATTCGAACATGTGGTTGTGCTTTACGATGCCTCCCTGCTCTTTGACCCGAAGCGACTAGTTCTCTGCTTGGATGAATTTCCATACAAGTAATATCCTCAGTATGCCCTACATAATGACGTTGGGTATTTTCTTCACGATCATAAAGTACAGCTACAGCTGCTACATAGTATAAAAGCTCTCCACTAGGTAAAACCCAAAGATTTCTTCGAGTGTCTGTTCCTCTATATCCATAAACCCATTCTAGTTGAAGTTTTTTGTCTGGTGGCGAATTGTCTACTACAGGCAAGTGTGATGGTGGATAAAATGATCGTCGAAGACCTCTTATAGTTACTCTTGCAGGCTCTTCTCTTAATACTTCTACCAGACTATAATCTAAGATTTTAAATAGCATTTTGAGTTAATTATTTTCAAATACTCCAATGGATAGTTTTAATTTTGAACTCTAAATTTACCATTAACTCTTACAACTTCAGAATCAGGCGCATAAAGAGCTCTTGGACGACTTTTACTTCGAGCACGTCTTTGTCGGCTTAACTCTTCATTACCTGCTGTCATTGGAAGGGCGGGTGGTCCTCGTGATCTAGATCGTCTAGCTGGAGATGAGCCTGTCATCGAAGCACCACTAATTCCCATTGATGATCCAGTGCCGAGATAAAATGTGTCCACATCAGCAAATTCATTTCTCAGTTGAGAAAAACTGCGGACCTGTTGAATAATTATACTTTTGTTTTTTATTAATTGACATACAGATTTTTTATCAAGAAACAAATTTAAATTTTTATTCCAGTAAAGCACTTATTGTAAAATTATCGGTACAAATTTTTTATAAAGTTATAACTATCAGAATAAGTTTTATATTAATTTGAGGTATATAGTGATGTGATATGAGGAAAAATAGTTTTAATCTGAAATTTGGCCATTGTGATGAAATATTAAATTTTCATATTTTTTTAAATATTTTCGACATCAAATTATTTTTGAAATATTTTATATTATACGGATTAAAAAATAATCAATAAATATTGATCATAATATTATGTTAATTTATAAAAAAATCAACTAATTATTACAATTGTCAATATTAATTTTAATATGTCTCTTCATTAGAATAAATTTTTTTTCTTTCATTGATTACTTGGAAGTTATTGCGAAAAATAATTATGCAATGATATGTGAAATAATATCAAGCATTTTTATACGAATTTTTTTTAAATATTGAATGTGCAAACTTAGTAGTGTCAATATTACCCCGAGTAACTTTATCACAATTATTGCTTAAAAAACAAATTGTTGACTTGAAAACGTTTTACAAAAAAAACTATCAAATGTTGGGAATTTTACTTTTTTCAAGTCATACTATATAATATAAAGATTGAGATAAATATCACGATATAAAACTTTGGTCTTCATGAAATGAAGTAAAGTGAGTACTTTTCAATGCTCGTGAGGGTGAAAATTGGTCAATTTGTAATTCATATTTATTCGTGACCTAAAAGGTGGATGAATCTCTGACCTTTTTCATCGTCGTTAGCCTTCTTTTTCCAAATTATTACAAAATCTTCGACTTCATTATAGATTATTCATAATAAATCAATAAAATGAAAGAAATTTGTGGGCGTATAATCGTTTTCTCTTTCCGTATTGAAAAATTTTGATTGCAAAAAACTAATATTGATGCATTATTTGCATGTAAAATTTAAAAATGAAAATGATTTCATTGAAAGATAAAATGAGGTAAGATTTAAGAATGGCCCACGCTTTGCATAAAACTTTTTTATGGACTTTTAAAAAAATCCATCACTGTGTAACATCTAAATTTCATGATTATATATTTAAATACATCACTGAGTTAACTTGATTAAGATATATTTAATTCTTTCGATCAAAAAATCTCGAGAAATAAACAAGTACTCAGTTTACACTAAGTTATATTTTTTTCATGCACGCATTGCTCATTATGAGTTACAGATCGTTTAGGGTGGAAAAGTGCACAGTCATGAAAGAACGATAAGGTAAAGGAGGGACCGACAATTGCACTGATTAGATTGCCCGCCTTTTGTCAGGCCGCGACCTTATTCCATCTTGTACAAAGTCGAGTAGTCGACCCCGATCGTCACGCCTCGGTTCTGCTTTTCACTTCGTGTTTCACCTCTTTTCAAAATGTGCTCCAAGGGCTACATGCATATTTATGAAAAACATTATTCAAACTGATTTTATATAAGGACGATGCTGCGTCTTCATCACCTTATTAGCATAAATAACTGATAAACTTTAGCTTAAAAAATTATCCAACCTTCTATGAATTTATAAACTTGTGTTAATTCTAATATTTTAGTACCCTTACTTTAGAATATTCTTATTCAAATACATATGGAAATTATTACGCAATAATATGTTATTGTTGAGGTTAATTTGAAAAATGGATGGTATGTTAGATTTTTTGTTTGATTAAGTATCGACAAGATGGAGTGCAGTCTGGCTGATCAATCCTATATGTACTTGCATTACTGCAGCGGCCAACACATTTATGTCTTTACTTACAGGACAGTTTTGTGTCCCCCGTAACATACTATCTAGCACACATTGCTCTCTTATCGCTACTATATCTACTATACATCCAAGCTAATGACTGACCTCCTGCCCTGAGACTGTGAACATTCTCTTGGCCCCGTTCATTTTCAACACTTGACCCAAGTCTTCCAAAACTTCTTCAAAAGGTTGAGATGTTCGTAGATTCAGTAGCACTCGACACTACATTATCAAAAAATAACAATGACTTCTTCTTTTGACTACTAATTCTTGCAATATGTTGTAAACATATTCATCAATTGTTTCAATAAAAAATAAAATAAATTTTAAATAATAAAAATTTGATATTTTTATTTTTTTTATTATGATTAATTGACTGATTATGTCAAAAAAAAACAGGTTAGATCCAACAACACACTTCTTAGAGTTTGATTGATTGACAAAATGAATTAACATTAAAATGTTTGTTTTTTCAATTGAAATGAGTAAAATAATTTTAGTAATTTAACAATAATTTATGTAGTAATATTTATTTATAATTTATGATGATTGTTTACAAAAAAATAATTTTGTTATTAAAGATTTAATAATAAATTATGAATAAAAAAAATATATTATTACATTACAATGAAAGTTATGAAGCTAAACAAAATTTTTTTTATTACCTGAACAGTATGATCAAGATTGTTGACAATCCTAATAACTCGCCCTGAAGATGGTTTGCCACCTCCAGGTGGTGGTGCTTCTTCAGAGATGGAAGCTTTTCTGCTGAGGCTCGCTACCGCTGGTGGTCGACTTTGCCAGCCACCCCCTCCTGCTCTACTATTCGTACCCCCTGGTGCTGTATACCAAGTATTGCTCTTTTTCCCGTAGCTTGCCGGCTATAAATACAAATAAACAAAATACTTATTATTATTTTATACATTTTGAACAACTGTCAGATAAAAAAAAAAGAAACCACCTGGAGCATGTCGACCGGCAGCGAAATAACTTCGAAAGAGTCACTCATCAACACAACGAAGCTTTCGCAGCCGTCCCAACAGCTTTCTCGAGAATTACTAAATCTTCTAGTTTCGTTTATTCGATAATTAGCTTCGGAACCGTCTTCAGTAGATTCAGGTGTTTCTGGCTCTAAGCCAAAGTCTGAACAGTAGGAATAACTTGGAGACTCAATGGTGGATATTATGATAAAACACACACATGTATTCTTTGATAAAAATCACTCAATCTTTTTATTTATTGTTACAAACACTCTGTCACATGGTCATTATCATGAGACAGAAAAAAAACGACTTTACTTGTATATTTTGATGGCTGATTATTCATATACTGCGATCACTGCAGTTGTAGATTTATGTGAGTGTGTCACGACCTAGAATTGTTTCATCATTGGTTTCTTGTCGTTTAAGTACGAATTCTTTCACGCTTTTGATGTCAAAAATCACAACAAAATAATTTTTTTTTCACTGAAAATTCAAACGAGCGTAAGAATATTGATGAGAAGTAACAAAAAGGGGGCAAAATGGTAACAATTAAACACGCGACGACCTGCTTTATTGGTCACCAGGGGGTTACGTTGTACGAGGTGCACTCTCGAATGCTCGATTGAGAACTGATGGAGTTAGAAAGCATGCCACGCTGCCCTACCTTTAGGATATGGGCCCTAGTTGAGCCACCCTCGGCTTCTGCTACGATGTTAGCCACGCCAAGGCCACTATATAAACTTAGAGGTGGGGAAGTATCGAAGGGGTATGTTCAAAGTATAGAGGGTCTGTATTGAAGACGACAGAGAGGTAAAAAGGTGCCGTTACCAAGGCGAAAATTCATTTTTTCATTTCCTTATAATGTTCATTAGTCATCCCTAATTTATAAGAATCTTTCAAAATCTATTGTTACTATCGCCCCATTGACCCTTATTTCTTTTACTTTTGTCAACACGCATTTTATAAAGACTATTAATTATTAATTATTTTACAAGTTAGCTGCATTAAGGGTTACAACACGATATTAAAAAATAATTGAATATTTTTCTTTTTTTTCTTTAAAGAATCCAATAACCCTTAAAGCTATCGTGATCTCGTGATTAGTGTACACGTGGGTTAAATTAGTATTACTGACATCTCAGTTCCACCTTAATGCTATAAACAATCTATAGACATTGTTTACATCATCAGACAAGACCTTGATTTACTTTTGTTCATTCAAATTCAATTGGGAAAATTACAATAGACATTGAGACATGATAAAGTGAGATCGGAAATATTTGGCGAAATGTAAATGAAGTAATGATGTCCTTCAAAGATGGAATTGTCAGAATTAAAAGCTTCTTAATCGCAGATTAAAATGGTATTCGATTTAAGTTTTACTCATTATATGGTGTACATCTACATCGACAACTTTCAAACACGCATAGTCTGAAGGCTATTGGCTAAGTGCCAAGAATTTTATGACTAGTTTCTGTTACTTTTTTTCTTTTCACCCTGAGATTCGTCAAGTGACCATGAGAAATCGATTGTTCTTTTCTGTAATATATTTTGTATTTTTTGATTTTAATGATCCTTAATAAAAAAATTTAACGCCTTCAATAATGTACTATTTCATCAAAAAATGTAATCAGTCATTTAGTTCCATCATTAATTGGCATTACGAAAATTAATGAATATATTTTATCCAATTAATTAAGTATAATTGTATAATATTAGAAAACAATAAGAAAAAAAGCTTTGTATTTCATGAGGACGTCAACTGATTACTTGACGAATGTTTTGTGTCTGTGATAATGGAAACGTGCTGGATTAACACAGGGTGAAGGTCATCAACTATCTACACTCCTTTTATCCCTACTATCTGCGTTTGTCTATATTTCTAACAGTTGATTAGAGTCAAATAGTTTTCTCGTAAATATCAACCATCAGTATTTTTTCATCTTTTCTAAATATTTTTAATTGAAATTCATTCATTGTATTTAATATTTTTCTATTTTGTAACGCTTCAGTTTTACTAATTATTCTATTATGATAACTTCTATTATGATATCTTTTATATCGATCATTTTATCAATTAATTCAAATTCTAGTAGAAATTTTTTCTTCATTTCATTTAATAGATTGAATCTAAGCACTTTAGAATTAATTGAAAACTATTTTATTCATTTTTTTTTATTTTAAATATTAAACAATAAATTTAGGACAATTGATAAGAAAATTTTTTTTTTGCTTTTGTCTTATAATTTACAGAAATATTTTATTATTTATAGAAATTTAATATATTTTATCAAAGGAATATCTGATTAAAGAAAAAGAAAAAACTATTTTTTTTATTGACCCTTCAGGAAATTTAAGTACAAGTTGACATCTTCTTGAAGGGTGTTGAAAAAAGAATTGATCATATATATGATTATCTTGTTTAGTTGCATGCGCGGGAATAAAGTGTAATAGAAGCTGAACACGAGGTCATTTAAGAATAAGACCAAGTTTACTCCTGCATAATCTTTTGAGGATGTGATTAGTCTAGATAAGTAAAAAATATTAATTTCATGTCAGATTATTATGATAAACATTTAATGGGAATTCAGAATAAACACGAAAATTGAACTGCTTATTTTATAGTTACCCATTTTAATGACATTAATAATTACTCTTTGAAAAATGTTTATTACTAAAACACTGAAATGACGATTGTTATGTTATTATGGTGATAGGATGATGGACTCGTCCGATTTGCGTAATGAGTCGGAATAAAGGCGAGTCCATTCACGGTCAGTATTACCCCCTCTTAAGTTCAGTCTAGTTTAATTTACATCTTTCGTAGGGAGGTGTAAATCGTAGAACTCGATGTCGCGAAAGCATGCGCCAAGGCCAAGGTCATTACACATACTCTTGTCAGTGTAACTTTTAAGATTCTAGTTTCTTCGATTGAAGAAAAAAAGATATACACGTAGTATGTAAAGAAAATATATAAATAGATACGTTTTTTCATGCAATACCGATCAAAAATTTTGAATCACTTACTTGAATTATACAAAATATTTTGTGGGAAAAGCCTAATTAGTTCACCATCTTAGTAAAGCATCAACTAATCAAATTTTTTAATAATAGTTTAAACTTTTGAACGGTACTGTATATTAACATGAATTGAAGAAAAAAATAATAAGTATAAAAACATATTTGATAGTGCGATACGCAGAATGAATAGTCTAACAATGAAGGAGTTGAGAGCACGAGGGTTCATCAACGGTGTTCAACCCTTGACCTTTTAACGCATTTGTCGGTCGTGCACCTTGAGATTTCTAGCACATGCAAATGCATTGAGATAACCAAAATGATTATTTAAATTTTTATTCGCTAATTATTATCAAGTGAATACATTTTTTTGGTACTATATTAAATCATATCTCGAAATTATTTATTATATTTATGGTAACTAAAAAAAAAACAGACTTGCATGTGTGTGATTACCGCAAGATTAATTATTAAGAGAAATGATAAGGTGAAGTTTAATTTAAGTTTAATAGATGATTTAAATAAGTTTTTTGATAAAAAAAGAGCGAAATAGAGCAACTTGTTAGCTCGATGAACGTGTTTTAACGAGTACTTTACGACGATAAGTCTTATTCGCGCTGTCACAGCAATGCCGAGCTACTGCGGCATTTGACACACACACATATGAATCCTTATGTGTACGTACAACTACTTTATTATGTTGGACCGACGTAAGAACTTAGTCACGCTAACTCTCCAGTTCAATCTGGAAAACTCTTAAATGTATCAGACGTGAAAAATGGATTTATATAAAAATTTAAATTATTTATGTAACCAGACATCAGCCAATCCTGTTTGTATAATAAATATTAATTTACAAATTCTAGTTTCAGATTAAAAGCTATCTACTTGCTATGTTTTTGTATATTTTTTCAAGATGAAAAATGAATGAAAAAAAGATTTGTGATTTCATATTATAAAAAATATTTTATTTTTAAATTTAATATATTTGAATGAAAAATATATTAACGATTCTATTTTATTAAAATAAATAAATATATATTCAAGAAAAAAGTTTATATCAATTTAAAAAAAATACAAGTTATAATATTTTAAAGTCATATGAAAGTTTTCAAAATGGTAATTTGGCACTTTTATACCATTGAAAACTTTCAAAATTCTGACATGAAATAATTGAATCTCAGCAAAATAGTTGTCGAAAGCTAATGAGATTCATATAATAACGAATAAATCATAAAGTACTCATCCATAGTAAGGTCATGAATTTGATTGAGATTTATAGTTTATGATATCTAAAAATCAAAACAAAAAAAAAGAGTATAGACAAATTAATCAGGAATTTATTTTTTATGTTTAGATAAAATTTATGTATATTATTAAATTTGAATCTTAAGATTGATCTAAATTGTCTCATAATTATAAGAAAAATTCGAGTATTCTTTAAAAAAAAAAAACAAAAATGATCAATTTTAATATTGCAATAATGAGAAATTATATCAACATAAACACTTTTCTATCTAAAAAAAAATAAAAAGCGATAAGAATTTAATATTTAGTTACATCCATTAACGATTACATCAATGATTACACTAGAATTTGAATATGTAACATACTATTATATTTTGTTGAGTTATACATTCAATTTTTGCATTGTGAATAGTGTAAAACGTCAATTTTCTACATCCTCTTTCATCGAGAATCATTGTTATACCACCGTAATTTTTAGATGTAATCATACCTTGTCATTTGGTAATCCAAGAACGATCAAGTAAAATTTTCATAATTTCTACTGTTACTTATCTCCATCAAGACTTTAACATTGTGCTCTAATTAGAAAATAAATTATAGTATAAATGTTTTGAACTAATTTTTCGAATTATTTAAAGATATGTAAATGTTTTAAAAGATATTGATACAATTATGTCAAACGTGAAGAAATTCTTTTTTCTTCCCACAGAAATTTAAAAAATCGGTAAGACTTGTCAACTGAACTAAAAAGTAAAGAATTAATTACATTTATTTTTTAATTTGTTAGAGAAATTCAAGTTCGTGTAACACGAAAGCAATGTCACTTTTGTGGTTCAAATGATTAAATGCAAATATGATGCTTGTATAATTCCTGCAGGGGATAAAAAAAGTTGGGGCTGTAGAAAAAATTGTCTCAAGTATTTATCAGATTCTTGATGGTCCATTGGGCGTTAAAAATCATCGCGTGCTGTTTTTTTTTTAAGTATAATATTGATTCAATATTAACAACAGTACAGATACAAAATATGCTCTAGGAATATTTCAAATATTAAAAACTTTTTGTTGTAGCATCGTTATGAATTTTTATTGAATTAATTTGATATTTAAAATTGATGACAAATATGTACAGTTTTAAAATAAATTTATATTTTTGTTTTCCAAATAACCATTATGTCTTAGGAATATCGTTAAATATGTAAAAATAAATTAAATGATTCAAAATTATTGGTACATTATAATTTCTTAATACCACTTTTTTATGATAATTTTTTTCTGTGCAAGCCATGAATATAATAAGCTTTTTCTATTTATTCCATTTTAGGATAAATAAATTAATTAAAATTTTACAGAAATTTTTCATAAATTTTAATTTCACTGAATAATTAGTAATTTCAGATTTATCAGTAAAATCG